ACTCGCGGTCATGAACTCGAGTTTGTAAACTCGCGGTCATGAACTCGAGTTTGTAAACTCGCGGTCATGAACTCGAGTTTGTAAACTCGCGGTCATGAACTCGAATTTGTAAACTCGCGGTCATGAACTCGAGTTTGTAAACTCGCGGTCATGAACTCGAGTTTGTAAACTCGCGGTCATGAACTCGAGTTTGTAAACTCGCGGTCATGAACTCGAGTTTTAAACCTCGAGTTCTGACTTCGAGTTTTTAAACCTCGAGTTCTAACCTCGAGTTTTAAACCTCGAGTTTTTTTTTTAAAATTTGAGAGTTTTGGAATTGCGAGTTTTGGAATTTATTTCGAGTTTTGGGAACTCGATGTTTTGGATTTCGACATTCTAAAAAAATTTCAGAATTTTCGGAATTTCTCGATGTTTTGAATCTTTCAAAGTTTGCAGTTTCTTGGAACTCATAATTCGAATCTTGACATCCTTTGCAGTTCATCGAAGCTTTACATTTTAGATATCTGAATGATTCCCTGTTTATCAAAGTTTTAGAAGTTTTCGATGTTCTGATGTTTTTCAAACAGCAAGTTTTCGATATTATGAGGTTTTTCGAAACTCCAAAGTTTTCGAGGTTCCAAACATTTTGAAATTCTGAAGATATCGTTATTCTGAGGTCTGTTTTGCAGGAGGATTTCGTCATTACTCTTCAAGGCACACTCGAAATTAAAATCTCCAGATTGGGATTTCGAGTTTTTTTCCTTAGAATATTGTTTAAATTCACCTGCTCTCGAAATTCAACATCGAGAACCTCAACCTCGAAGATTTTCCTCAAAAACTTAAAATTAGAGATTTTCTGCGACACCGCACTGTTTTGGCCATAACTTTTGACTCGGTGATCCGATTTGAGCAAACTTTTTTTTAATGGAAAGCTAACGAAAAGATCTACATTAATTCTCGGGCTACGTCCCAGAACCCATTCTCACGCGCCCTCACTCGCAGTCTTTGAGGGTCAAAACGTGAGTTTTCCGACAAACATTGTAAATCACCGATGTCCAGGTCAAAACTTAGGCAAATCTGTTCAAATTCTTTCAAAGTCAACCCTGAGGTCAAACATTTTCTAAACTTCAATGTAAAGGTCTGAAAATCGTAGATAATTCAATCAACCTCGCGTCAACGGTCATCTTACAACAATCAACAATCAACTGCTGAAGCCTCCCCTGACTCATCAACATTATGTCATCTTCAATATGCTGAAATTCTACATGGTGAGCTCAGGGAAACCGTCATGTGTGGTACATGTTCAGATTTCTCCACACACATGGCGGGTATGACAAGCTGTGAGCAATCAAACCTTGCACATTCTGAGGGGGAGTTTCAGTTTTCTCCTCCTGGCGCCTTACACCGACAAAGCAAGGAATCTCTCAAAGGATGCAACATTTTAGGGGGAGTGTTCAATGTTATCCTCCCCGGTGCCTAACAATGACAAAGCATACCGAGTGCTCCAGTTGAGGGGGAGTACAGAGAGAAAATGAGAAAGTAATGAGAGAACATGTCCCTATGGCTTAGTAAACCCAACTAAGCCTACCAAAGGGACAAAGCCGAGCATAAGTGCGTAAGTGAGAGAGTGAGTAAGTGAACATTATGAGCATTAGGAAGCAGAAGGCTCGAGTGAGAAGGAAACAATTATCAATGATGAGTCTGCTACCTCAATTGCCTGCTATGAATTGACCATTTGCTCCTAGCCACTAAAATACTCTGGACTATCCCCATAGGTTCAGGACTGAATTTATTCAGATCCCGGGTAGAAGTCGCTGCATTTTGTCCAAACGGCGCATGCACAACCCTACCCTAGACCACTCACTTGTCTCCCAACAGACAGGTGTTTAATCATAGTTCACGGGGAACCGCATCTCTCATTACTGTCTCCTTCCGAGGCAAGTAATACTGACTACAGTGGCCTCAGCCCCATGCCACTGAACTTTCATTGATCACGTTGTGTCTAGTTACTCACTCCCAAATGTTTTGAAATTTTCTAGGACACAGACGCACTTTTAGAGTCAGTTGCAGGTCTACATGACCCGCGAGAACTTCCATAGGTCTCATCTATTGCAGATGTAGACTAATGATTGGAAGGAAGTCCTGCTGTTGCAACATAAGAATCACCAACATTTTCAAGCCATTGCTTAAGAGTTTATCTCTATAGTGATGATAACGGGCGTCTTCATGACCCCGGGGGGCTACGTTATCTTTTTTTAGATTATGCTTGTTTTTCATGTTTTTATTTCCGCAGAATAAAAGAATAAAAGCATGACGTCCCGATTCATCGGATCGTCATGAGGGGGGGAGTGGTCCACATGTTGTTAACACTGAACAAATCATTCTGGGACACTTCACTCCTCCATCACAAAAATCAACACCTTCTCTGCTATCTCTACAACTCAAATCAAATGGTCAGCTACACTCACAAATCAACAATCATTATGTTCCGCTGTGCCACCGACAAGTTCTCTTCAAATGCATTCATTCCAAATAGTCAAAAAGACTACATTGTGGAGGAGACAGAGGTCAAATACTCGTGTCCTGAAGATGAATTCCATGGGCGTCTCCTGTTTCTCCAAAGAATATATTCATTCTAGAGGCGTCACCGGACTTCATCCAAGCTGATCAAGAGCAACTTCTGGAAGGCAAGGACTACATGCAAGATACTGAAGGTCCCTCAACCCCCGGAATCAAAGATCAAATTGTCAAGAAGACATCAAAGGGGAGATTGCAAGGATTTCTTCAGATAGCCTTCCTCAGAAGTCAAGTTCAAAGACAAAGGAAGCTCAATAACAACAAAGACAAAGATATCTGCGCTGCAATGCTGATTCAACACGATTGATCACCAAGGGGGAGATTGTTGGGAATATTTTATGGTGTTCAATCTAGTTAGTTATCTTTGTATTTGTGTAGTTATTAATTAATCGTGTAATACGGGCCACAAATGTGTATCAGCCCGTGGGCTTCCTTGTAACCCGTAAGTTAGCCAACTTCTCCTATAAAAGGAGGCTAACTTACGGGAACCCTAACGATCGAAATAGAGGCTGAGAGCGCAATAGGCGAGATAGAGAGATAGGGTTTGCCGCTGCTCTCCTTCTCCAGGGAGAGCAGCGGCCAGTGTACACGGTATACCAGATTCGCGTATAATATCTACATATCTTTCTATCTGCTTCTTCTATAACTGCTATATTTGTTGTTTGTTAAGTATTCTGGGATTAACACATGGCAATAATTACTCCTATTTTAAGAATAAAAACATGACAGTCCTATTTTGAAATTTTCAAACTTTTTTAATCCTATTTCAGGAATTTGCGCTATTTGAAAACGTCATTAACATGTTTCTATCCTATCATTTAATGAATATTTACTTATTTGATTTTCAAAAAAATAGTTAAAGTATAATTTAGAATAGTAGGAATTAGTGTTTATAATATTCCGTAAGCACGCGACTCCACACGTAATTCTGATCTTATTATTGAATGGAAAGAATTTTCACGAACTTTTCTTATTTTTCCCGAAAAAAATTCTACATTGTGAAATATCATGTTTTTAGATGTTGCTTTGACACAAGATCTAATTATACCAACGTGTTCTTCTTATTGAGAGGAAAACTCTGATACTTTTCAGAAGATCAAACGATCGTCGTACGATGCCGCATGAACTGACACGCACTGGCACGCGTTGGTGAGGGAAGTCCACCCGCGACACACCCTCCACACACTGGCGGGAGGTTGAAGATGTGCCACGTCGGCACCAAGTTACATCCAATCTACTTTAAAAGTAATGTACGTAAATTATTTGCACACTTTTACGGTTATTCTAACATATTTCGGGAAAATATTTTTTCAATAATACAAACTATCTTTTGTGAGTTAAGAATAATACGTACTTTGGAAATATATTTTAATACTAGTAATAACTATTTGAATATATAAAAGTGATACATAGTACTTTTCCACTAAAAATCAATCATTTAACTCATCAAAAAATGTGTTGGGTTATGAAGCCCGAGTAATAGTACAAGAATTTTGATTCTTTTCCCAGAGGGGAAAGTGGGAAACACTGGTGTATTTTACTTTGATGGTTTAAGCAGTTGGGTTAAGCAGGTCACTTGAAGGGGTGGCAGGACATTGCCGAGGGCAGTGGTTTGTGTGGCCGCCACGGGCAACGAGTTACTAGGTCACTGTCGCAAGCAGATCACTGGGACCGCAAGAGTTATCGAACAAAATGGGGTTGCTTGGATGGTGGGGTCGGCTGAGAGACTGCGGCAGCGCGTCACTGCCTCACTGGACATAGGTATCACTTGCAGCTAGTCACTGGGGGATCGATAGATCAGCGACGACAAATAGTCACTGGGTGCTACGGGTCACTACTTGCGGTTGGTCACTTTTTCAATTGTTTTTAAATATAGTCCTATAAATCCATAGCATCTCTTTTACTACTAGGTATTATTTATGTCAAAATCCAAACATTAAGGTTATTTGAAATAAAGAGGTTACATGCCTGAATTATTGTGAGTTATAAGTTATACATAAATGAGTAAGAACTAAATAAAAATATAACCCAATGTGAATAGAGGTAATTACAAAATAAGCATGAGAGAAAACAAATCTTAATGATGCCCGACTCTAAGGTATATACGCTAATAGCCTGATACTAGTTTCACAGAACATAAGAGTTGCTTTGTACCGATTTCAAATGTTTCAAATTTTTTTAACACTTCAATTTATTGTCAAAAAAAAAACAAACACTTCAACTTTAAAAAAATCACTTTTATCTTCACACACTATCGACCACTTCCATTAAGCACATTCCAAAAATCTATAAAATAAATAACTTGTAAAAATAGAAGTATATGCAAACATATGAGTATGATATTTGCATCAAGTAATGTAATTAAAATATTATTACTACTGCATTCGTCCACATATGCTTCAAACAAGACGAAGTGAGTAATTATTAAAAGAAAAGACACAAACGGGGAATAGGCCAAATATAGTGCAAAGTATTTCTATTTCCATCTGACATTAACGCTCAATTCGTTTTTGTAATCACGTTATACTGCATTACTGCATAACAAATTGCCCTCCAGTATGACATACGAACATATCACAGGATGCAACATTGCACTAAAATTACAATAAACTTAGACTGAAAGTCACTACACAAACACAATCTTTGCTTTGACGGAAGCACGAGGAAGATTCAAGACTTGTTTCCTAAACTCGTATTTCTCCTTGCAGTCAAAAATGTCAAAGGGGCTAATAATGACAACCTTTTCTAGTGCCGGAAGAGAGGCAAGTAACTCCTCAATGTAAATCATTTTGAACCCCAATCTATTAACAGAGCTAAGCTTCAAAGCAAGAAGCTTGTTGTGTGCTTGAGCAACACTTCGAAGTTCTTCCAAAGCATTCACCATTGCATCATCCATAGTATTACAAGCCTCTACAAACTTCAGATTCATACCAACAATAACAACAAAACAATTCAGCATTTAGTTTAGAAAGCAAAATGTCAAAACAACATGTAAAACAAGTAGAATTCCACTGTATTTTTTATTCAAGAAAAATGAGAATTACCCAGAATCTTATATCAAGTTTGCATAACTTCGGGCACAGCCGTAGCAAACGAACAAATGCAGAAGTCCTATCAGCAATTTGGCAATAATGATCTGATAGCTTCAGGTAGTCTACATTTAGTTGTAACGGAAGGCCTCTTTTCAGTCTTCTATCTAGTTCTTCAACAAGGTACTTGGAAATCATGTGGAAATAAGGTTGCGTTAGTTCAAATATACAGAGTACTAGGATAAATAGATAGTAAAACAAAAAATACCTGAAGAGATGAATCTGTCAAATTGAGATTACAGATACAGGTCAAGTTCATGTTAACCGGGAGAAAAGTTCTCCATGCACAAAAGGTATTAGTTTCGATTGTCAAACTATGAAAATTTGTAGCCATAAAGTTGAATTGAGACATGTTCACACAATTCTTAAATGACAAATTCTCCAGCACAGGAACATCAAGAGCATAGTTTGAAGGACTTGTAGGAGCAAAGTCAACATATTCAAAACAAAGCGAAGTCACATTTGGTAACTTGCAAGGGACAGTAAATGGTTCAATACAGAAACCATCAAGATGTAATCTCTTGAGTGTTGAACATGAAAAAATGCAATCCGGTAGCTGGTATGCGTTATGTGCAAGACGGAGGTGGATTTCTTCAATGCCTTTTTGTGTAACTATAAGAAACCATTGGTTCATGTCATAGGAAGGTGACTTAGCACCAAGTCTTGCAGCATTTGAAAAGCAAATGACGAGTTTCCGGATAGATCCACTATGCTGCAAGAGAATGTTGTTTATTACATGCAAACCGCAAGATCTCCTGACACTTTTCCTAGCCCCACGATATTTTCTATCCATGTAACAAAAGAAGTGATGATCAAAGCACAGTTGTGAAAGACTGTACCAGATATCTCTCCAAACGGTAGATAAAACTGCAGTTTTAGCAGCTTCTTGGATAGGCAAGATTCCCATAATATGGTCAAGAATACCCGCAGGAAGTTGACTGATTCTATCCATTCCTTCCCCAACTTCGGCAAGCAAGTCTAGCATATGAAAGTTAATACACAATATACTGAATATAGTTAGAAGCAAAACATTCAATCCTAAAATGGGTTGGTAATCTTGAAGAGAGTATGTAATAATTTAAAGTTGACATTAGAACCAAAGGAAAATCAAACCAAGCCAATCTTTCTTAAAACATACAAGTATCAAACGTCTCTAAATTCTAAAGCGATAAATCTTTTTGGGAAACTGAACACACGGAACACGTGATATAGGTAAAAGCAGTACAGTAAAAGCAGCAGATTTGGGCACAAATTTTAAATTGGAGCTACAAAAGCTAGTTTCGCAAGTTCCCTTATACTAAAAATAAGATTATTGAAGCACCAATAAAAAAGGTTTTCGACTTTACAGTCGTTAATGGACGCAGTATATTAGGTTACCGAAAAAACTGCAGTCGAAATGGAGAAGCAGCGGAACGGGCGAAGCAGCGGAGAGCGGTTAGAGAAATTAAAGATTGAGTTTAGCAGAGTGAGGAGAATCCATGTTCCCTGACCTTTCACTATGAAGCTCTCCCAAAGTGAAATTAATGGTGTCTTTGTTTTGTCAAAAATCCCCTTTTAGACAAAACTGTCCCTAGAGTAGTTTAGTTATAACAAATCGGGATAAAAGCCAAAATTGACACTTTTCAATGAAATACAGATGAGACACTACAGTTTTAAATAGACCAAATAAACACAAATTTAAATTTTTTGATTCCATTTTAGCCCGTCATCGAGCCTTCCAAGGTCCCCTCACCCTTTCTTCTTCGACCTTCGTCTCAACCTTCTCCACCCATATCTTCTTCCATCTAAAAACATTTGCTTCCCGGAGCCCAAGAGAACAAGGGCATCGGCATCCACTCATCCAGAAAAAGCAATTAGGGCTACCCAAGTTGATTTCCCAGCCTCACTCCACTCCAGAATGTCTACTTTTCCTTTCCTTTCGTTCTTATTAAGTCATATACAATCCAATTAGTTCAAATTCACTTTTAATAAGCCATATTCAATCCAACCATATCATTATTTTCAACCAAATCAAGGAAAATCATAGCTTGACCATCAATTTCACGTATTGTTGTTTCAAAATAGAATAGGTTTAGAAAATTACGGAAGAAGGATTAAGTCCCCAATCTAAGCCGATGAAATGGAAATTATTTACAAACAAGAAGGAATCCAGACAGTGAATTCCTCCCTTACCATTGTTTGTATTGCTATTTCCAATTCTGAGTGCAAGCGGCTAGTCTTGCAGGTTAGCTGGAGCCAAAAAATGGTTTAGGCCGAAGAGAAAATATATGTGGTGAGTTTTGCAGGCCCACCGGAGTCTAAACAAGCTTTTGGGCAAAGAGGGATGATGTATATTTATGGGATGTGGGTTTTCAAATGTTTGGCCAGAAGATATGGTAGCTGGAGTTGCTTTGGGTTTTGGGGGAAGATGGACTGTAAAGTCATAACTGACGGGAGAAAAGCATGGGTGTCCAAATATGATGCAAAAACCTCTAATTTGTGTTAATTTGGTCTACTACAAAGTTTAGTGGCCAATATGAGTTTCTGGAATAACCTTAATGTCATTTTTGAGCTTTCTCCCTAACAAAATCTATCCGCTGGGTAATAGGATACGGAGTTTTCGAACAGTGTGTACAGAAGTATATGTATTACACCTTTTCTCATGAACAAGGTAGTTCCTCCATCCCTTAAAAATTTGCCAAGTTTCACCGTCACGAAAAATAATAAAATAAAAACTGTGTGATTAATATCTGTACAGATGAGAGGGAAATAATAAGAACAACAAAAGAATTGATTAAAATAGAAAGTGACAAACTTTTTTGGGATGTCCTAAAAAGGAAAGATGACAAAGTTTTAAGGGACGGAGTGAGTATTTTATAGGAAGATGAGTACATCTGGAATATATTTTATCTTGTTTTATACTCCGTATTTATTTTATCAAGAGGTATTTTTTATTTTTATTTTGTAAAAGAAGTATTTTATTTATGTACTATGTAAGTATTACGGAGAGTCATAAAAGAGAAATTACACATTGAATTAAACAAGATTTATTAGAGTCATAAAAGAGAAATTACACACTGAATAAAACAAGATTTATTTTTAGTCCAGTGTAATTGTAAAAAATAATTACTCTATGGATGAAATATTTTGTTTCAAACAAGGTAATGATAATAATTTGGAATTTTATCAACCGAGAACCTCAAAGATATGTTCCGTATCAATAAGGTGTATCAATTGAAAGATAAATAGCATCAATATAGGACCTAACATATAAAGTGTTTCAGTTGAAACCTATCGATCTAAGACTAGGATACCATAAAAGTTGGTTTATTTAATTTTTTTAATTCTATTGTTAATATTTGATAATGGTTCTTCACCAAATTTTATTAGTTTATAAGATTTAAATAATATTTATTTTTTTAACATACAAAATTTTTAAAGTTCGTGGAATTTTAAATCTTAGGTTGATAGTTTTCATTATTCAGGTTCCTTATTGATTGATTGTCCTTAGGACCGGAAGTAGGAAAGTTTTAGAGAAAAATTAGAGTGAGAAGATTTTGGAAACATTTATAGTACTTGTTGGGATATTAGGCCCAGGCCCAAATACCCGAGGAACCGAATCTACATATGGGCCCAATCACACCCCAATTGCAGTCCAGTCAATTCAGGAGGACCCCTCTGCCATCCTGCAAGGATAACGCCGCTCGACCCAGTTCCTTCACTTGGGCTTCTCCAGCTCCATCTAGATTCTAGAAGCCATCCAAGGGAAGAACTCTCCTAAGGAATTGGTGGAAAACCTAGAATTGGCGGGAAACGCATTTAATGTACCAGATATGAAAGATTTTATGGTTGAGAGCTATCCACTCAGGATTTAATGATCACCCCCACCTACTACCGTGTCGTGTATATAGCAGCATTTCAGTGTTCATTTGATAGGCAATATTTCAGTGTCGATTGTTTTAGATTTTAAATTGTCTGTTTCATGTCTAGCGTATTAGGTTGCTTTGTATAAAGTGATTGATTCTATGTCTATTTCCACGGCTCACAATCAGATCTGTCATAACTGACTGTATGTTATCTTAAAATCAAACCAAGATTGGTTTGGTTTGATCTAGCCAAATATGCATCATCATATATACAAAAAACTTGTGGTATAATAATCATTGCCATTCATACATGTTTTTGCACGAAAACAAAACATCCATGTAGCATAAGTGCTTAACGTTGGCATGACATGTTTGCTGCATCTAGTGTTACTACACAAAGGACTACCTTCCATTCAACTTGGAAAGATAGCTGCTAATAAACCATTTTTGCTTTAGTAGATGCACGAGGAAAACACAACACTTCTTCCATGATCTCATGTTTCTTGTAGCTGTCATCATCATCATACATATAATGGAAAATAAAGATAACCCTTTCAAGTGAGGGAAGACAGGCCAACATCTCCTTAATGAAATGCATTTGAGACCTTAATCCTCTGAATGAGCAAAGTTTCAAAACGAGAAGCCTGTTGTATGTTCGAACTACAGTACGAAGCTTTTTCAATCGCTTTGATGTAGCATCTAAAGGCTTATAAGTATTATCCTCGATCCCCTAATTAAAAGCAAAAAAAGGAACAAATCAAAGGTCAGCATTATATTCCACAGATAGTATGAAGACACCCTGAAGAACATGCAAACAACCACATCTTTATTAAATCTTTGCACAAGAAACTGAAGTGATAAATTTATTACCCAAAAACTTATTTCAAGTTGGCATAACATCGGGCATATGCATAGCAACCTTACAAATGAAGAGGTCTCAACATCCCTTTGGAAACGAAATCCTGATAGTATCAACAATTCCACATTTAGTGTATGCGGTTGTAGTTGACGTCCCTTTGTAGCACTTTCGGCAAGAATATACTGGAACCCATTCCAAGAGAAAAATGGAAATGAAGTTGCATCACTTCAAATGTGTTTTGTAAGAGGTTATAAATAGATGACATTCCAGAACAAAAAGTCTAGCTAAAATACCTGGAGAGACCAATTGTCCAATTCAAGAGTACAAATAGATTTGAAGTCCAAGTTGAGCCTGAGAGATTTGTCGACTTCACTACACAAACCATTAATTGCCAAACTGCAAAGTTTTCTAGCAGTAATTTTTAGGTGTAGTATATTCTCACAGCCCCTAAATGACAGATTCTCCAACATAGGAACATCAACAACATAATTTGAAACATTTGTAGGACCAAAGTCAACATCTACGAAATATAATGATGTAAGATTAGGTAGCAATGTGCGAGGTAGATTTAATGGTTCAATAGAGAAAGCTTCAAGATGCAAGTTTTTGAGTGTTGAGCATGAAAAGATAAAATTCGGCAGCTTGTATGCTTTATCCTCAAAACTAAGGTGGAGCTCTTCAACACGTTTAAATGTGAGTAAATGTAACCACTGATCAAAGTCAAAGGAGCGAGACCTCAGAGTAAGAATTCCAGCATGAGATAAATGAATGACACATTTCCTAATAGTTCCCTTATGTTGCAACAGAACTTTAGTGATTACATACAACCCAGAAGATTTCCTGACATACTTGCTATCCCGCCGATATTTTTTGTCAAAATACTCAAAGAAGTCATAATCAAAGCAAAGCTGAGTGAGAGTGGTCCAGAGATCTCTCCAAACCGTAGACAAAACTGCAGTTTTAGCAACTTGTTGGATAGACAATAATCCCAAAATGTGGTCAAGTATATCTTCCGGGAGCTGGCTTATTCTATCTCTGCTCGCCATAATAACTTAAATATCCTGCTTTAGCATAATCAAATTAAAGAAAAAATGAATTAGAACCAAGACATAACCCTAAAACTCGACGAGGTTACATACTACTTACATATAGTATAAAATCGACCCAAGTGTATGTAGAAGACGATTGAGCGTCGGCGGAGAGATATGAATTGTGAGCTATTAATAACGCTTACGGATTGAGCATCAACGGCGTGTGAATTTTGAATTTAAGATGGTGGAGGTCTAGATACTGGAATTTGAATGAGCTTAGCCGTATCTGCACGACTGCACCCAGACTCCAAGGGCCTGCCTATTTAGTAATCCTCATATCCTAATTAATATCTCATATTAAATTTTACACTTCTTTATTTGTCTTGTTTAACAAATAAATCTGCACCAAACAGTGCCAAACAATTTGAAACAGTGTATTCTACCGTAAAGTCAAATTTATTTCCGTAATATGTGTGAAATCAAAGTGTAAAGTTTAATAAGGACCGGAGGAAGTAAAAATTTTAACACAGGTGGGCATAGCTCAAAGGATATAACTCATATAAGGGGTGCCACAAGAGGTAAGTCTCGGGTTCGAATCCCGTCAACTACGTTGAGAAGTTACTATGCTTAAAATTCATAGAGTCTCTGCAAGTACCAAAGCTAGAGATTCATAAACTGTTCAATTTACATGCTCCTATCTAACTATCCGGTGGGAATTGGGGGATCTAGGTCGCTAAAGTGCCGAGCCAGCAGATTTGAGGTCCTTTAGGCTTTATCACTATTGCTAAAATAATTTAAATAAAGAATTACGAGTACATAGGATTTTCTTTTCCAAATTAATACAACCTCCCCATTTATGTATGCTACTTTGATTTGATATGATTACAACCTCCCCCATTTAGGCTTTATGTATGCTACAGATTTTCTTTGACAAGGATTCTAGATCGATCATGGTCGGCTTATAATTGCGCGTGTGAGATTAGCGAATCACATTGTTCCTTAAGAAGTGATTAAATCTAAGTCTAATTCACGACCATAATTGTACTAGCTATGCTTTTTAGTTTTGTTGACTTGTCTTTGTTCTTTGATCATGATGCTAATGTTATGATTCTCATATTATAATACAAGCCGTTTCATTTTAAAAAATGTCTTGTTTTGCTTGACACAATTATTAATAAACTGGTTAATATGATTGAATATATATACAAGTAAATTTGTTAAGATTTCTAAATTATACAAAATATTAATCTAAATTTGTTCATAGAGGGGATTTGTTCTCAACACGTTATCAGCACGAATCTGCTCAAACTCTCCAAGAAATCATCTTCCTGCAGATATGGATCACTTAAGTGATAAAAATTATGTATGATACACAGCGCTACAACGCACAACATTTTGAGAAACAAAGTATATTTTTCTCAAATGACTTTAGTAGAAGCTAAAGTCAATACAATATCAGGTGTTGCAAAGCTCATTGAAGGCTCTGGGAAAGCATATCTGATGCTCCCTAATGGGACAAATATAATTATAAATGACGCTCTATACTCCAGCAAATCACGGAAGAATTTATTAAGTCTTAAAGATATGTGTCAAAATGGTTATCACATAGAATTCATGAATGAAAACCAAAAGGAATATCATTGTCTTACGACAACTAAATCTGGCACTAAATAAGTACTCCCTCCGTCTCGTTGGAATGTTCCCGGTTTGGCCTACACACATATTAAGGAAATAAACTTACCAGGGGGTAAATTTTACAGTTTTGACACTGTTTCGACACTTTTTGGCACTGTTTCGACACTGTTTGACACTGTTTTGCACTGTTTGACCCTGTTTTGATGTAGGATAACTTTCCATTTAGGGAAATGAGAACTTTCCAACGGGACATCCAAAAAAGGAAAGCGGGAACATTCCAACGGGACGGAGGGAGTAATATATTTGTGAAAAAATGCCAGCATATTCCTCATGACTATATTTCACATATATTAGTCCATTCGAAATAAATTTGATTTCGAAAACAAAGTTAGATGATCAGAAAACATTCATGTTGTGGCATGAACGTTTGGGTCACCCTGACCATGTAATGATGCATAAAATCATTAAGACTTCACTAGGACACCCATTAAAGAATATCAGGGTTCCATTATCAAGTAATTTTCCTTGTAAGGCTTGTTCTCTTGGGAAAATGATCATCAGGCCTTCTATGAACAAAATTGCAACCGAATCACCTGCATTTTTAGAAAGGATTCAAGGAGATATTTGTGGACCGATAGCTCCACCATGTGGACTATTTAGATATTTTATGGTGTTGATTGATGCTTCAACCGAGAAATTTAGCATTTGCTAAACTCCTTGCTCAAATCATATGATTAAGAACTCATTTTCCGGATCATTCTATAAAGAGAATCCGACTTGACAATGCAGGAGAATTTACATCTCAATCATTTAACGACTATTGTATGTCGATTGGGATTGATGTGGAGCACCCTGTTGCTCATGTCCATTCACAAAATGGTCTTGCAGAATCTTTGATTAAACGATTACAATTAATCACTAGATCATTATTAATGAAGTGTAATTTACCTTCAGCAGCTAGGAGGCATGCTATTTTACATGCACCAAATTTAGTTCAATTTAGACCAACTGCATATCATAAATATTCCCCAATGTAATTAGTTACTGGACAAGAGCCAAACTTAGCACACATTAAGATATTTGGGTGTGTTGTTTATGTTCTTATTGTTCCACCTCATAGTACAAAAATAGGCCCTCAAAGAAGGTTGGGAATTTATGTTGGATTCGAATCTCCCCCAATAATCAAATATCTCGAGCCAATGATTGGTGACTTATTCACCGCAAGGTTTGCAGACTGTCATTTCAATGAGACAGTGTTCCCGACCTTAGGGGGGGAAATAATAAATTAGACCCAAGTACAAAAGAAATTACATGGAATGCAACATGATTATAACATCTTGATTCAAGAACAAATATATGTGAGCAAGAGGTGCAAAAGATATACATTTACAAAATGTTGCAAATCAGTTGCCTGATGCATTCATAGATTGATGCACACTAATTAGTAGTGCATAATTATATGTTTTTATGTTTGATTTAAGTTGATTGTTTGACTTTTTATTTAATGATGGATAGTGTACCCGGGGGCAGCTTATCTGAGGGTAATTGCGGAGAATAACTAGAGAGAAGTCGGAGCCAATAAGTAGAGAGAGAATATGTATTCAGTATGTGAATTTGTGGTGCCTTACAATGGGGAAACGGGCTGCTATTTATAGCATCAATAAATGCTAGATAGGGACACGTGTCAATAATCTGGTGGTCGAGGGGTCACTTCAACCGGGTGGCACCGGCACCTGCATGTGGCCGCATTAAATGCGGTGGTTGGATGTGACGTTTGTACTTGGTACGGTGATCCAGGCGCATGTGGAGAGGATATTCTGTCGAGGGAAGTGCCTTCGGCTGAAGGGTATTGGGCCGAAGGCTCTTCAAACCGGGGGCCTCCCTATGTCGAGGGTTGTATATGCCGAAGGCTTGGTTTCACGCCTTGTTCTCGTGATGTTTCTGAGCTTGATTCTGTCAGCGGTAGCCTTCGATCATGGGGCCGAAGGCACCCCTATTGCGTAATGTGGGCTGCTTAGAGCTTCATTTTGCTGGGCTTGGCCCGTTTTGGGCATGTTGGGCCTGATTGCAGTAGTGGGAGTATGTGGGTCGGGGGTCCTCGGGCCATATACCTCATCAGGAGTCCCTCACTCCTTTTGCCGAAAGGTACTTGAGGGAAAAGGAGTAAATGTATTTGTCCTCTGATGTTGGTGTTTACCTCGTTGCAGTTTGTAGAGTTGTGAGAGGTTTGTGTTGCATGTTTTCCGAGGGCAGTCCGTCAGCCCCCCACGTTTCTGGACTGAAGTACGTTGATGCTCTATGAGATTTTTTTAACATTTTGTGATTTTCCCGAAGGGGTTCCCTAGTCCCCCACTCCTTAAGTCACATGTAATGTGGTGAAAAGGAGTAGAACAGTGCCTGCCTTCAGTATAAGACCGAGGGCTGACGTTTTTTGTTTCATTTTGGGGGGATGCCTCGTTAAAAACCTCATTAGGAAAAAACTTGTGGGAAAAAATCCTAATGAGGGAAAAAGAGTGCACCGAATTCCCCCAACGATGAATCAAAAATGTGAGCCCTTAGTTTGAGATGAAGAGCAATGTTAACGCCGAGAGCTATCTGTGATATTTCGGTGATGCCGAGGGCCTCTCGGTCATTGAGAACTGAGGGCGTAAGTGATAGTCCTGTGTTGCTGAGGGGTTCTCTGGTTCTCAATATATTGAGGGCTATGGGTTCCCGGGGGCTTGCCCTTGTTGAGGGCGTCTGAAAGAGTTGACCCGAAGGCGTGCACAATTGTTGTCTGAGGCATGCCAGCTGAGAGCGTTTCTGTATTCTCAAAATATAGCCGTTGTAATACGACCGTTGGAGAAGGCGTCCACGTGGCGCGTGTCCGTTGGCTTTCCCGGGCGGGTGTCACTGGTTGGCTGAGGCGGCGGTTTGTAATGATGATTTTTGCAATCGGGGGCCCAATTCTCAGCCCAGACCCGGAGTGGGGAGCCTATAAATACTCCATAGGACGGAACCCATTTCCCTTGCGCGAAATTCATCGAAGCGAAGCTCTGCCCAAATATTTCTAGAGAGAGAAAGCATATTTCGATCAAAACCAACTTTCCAAGGCCAGTTCCTCTTCTATTTCTAGGTATTTCCGCATATTTTGCTATTCGAGCTTTAGATCTAGTGTTAGAGCTCTTAGTACCCTTTAAGAATCTTCCTCTTTCGAAACTCTTCTACTTCTAGACTTTCGAGAATGTCGCCGCAAAGTGACTCCCAAGATATTTCGATGGAGCCTTCAGTTGAGGCAGTAAGTATATCCGATGTGGGGTCCCAAAGTGAACAACCTTCGGTGAGTGGTGATTTCTCCGTGGCCATGGAGGTGCAGAAGGATCTCGTCGCTGAGGTCGAGGCCGAAGACTTTGAACAAGTCAACAATGATGAGGAGCTGGCCCTCGCTCTTCAAACTGCGGAAGAAGAGGAGGAGAAAGAGAGGCAAAAAGTCACCATCGCCATCCTTCCCGCACGCAATGCTGGTGAGGCCAGCAGCTCTAGGCCTCTAGACTGATGCCTCTCAAGGTGGCCCCGGGGAAAAAGAAGAAGGCCAAGGCAATGCCAAAAAAGAAGCAAGCGGCCGTAGACGCTGGGCGGCCGATAGGTATCCTCGAGGGCTATTCCTTTCTCAACACTGCGGTCCTGGACGTGAAGACGAGGGCGACGGCCGCCGAGTCTCAAGGCACGCAATTCCTCG